CTTTCAAGCCATTGTATTCAACAGGTAGTGCTCCTGGGCCTTACCCAGGGCACCTTCGACTACTTGACCATGAGCACCCCTACACCTGCCCCAGGCACCCCTACACCTGCCCCAGACACCCCTACACCTGCCCCACGCACCCCTACACCTGCCCCACGCACCCCTACACCTGCCCAAACAACTCTTCCCACCACTAGCATAATGCACGTGTCAACCACTTCAGCAAGGCCCTCCATGTCCACTATGGGCACGGAAGCCACGGCGCACACCCACAGCCTGACCTCCCCTGGAGGCCCCTGCCGGCGGGAGCTGTGCGAATGGACCCAATGGATGGATGGCAGCTATCCCAAGCCAGACAGGAACAGTGGGGATTTCGACACCTTTGAAAACCTGCGGTCCCAGGGATTTCAGTTCTGTGAGCGCCCTCAGCAGGTGGACTGCAGGGCACAGTTTTTCCCCAACACACCGCTGGCTGAGCTGGGCCAGGACGTGACCTGCAGCCTGGAGCAGGGGCTGATCTGCCTGAACAAAAACCAGCTCCCGCCCATCTGCTACAACTACGAGATCCGGGTGAAGTGCTGCCGCACCGTGGATCAGTGTGCTACCAGCATGCGGGCCCCCACCGGGGCCGGCCCACGCAACACCAGCCCCCAGACGCCAGCAACTGGCTGGACTGCCAGCAGACACTCGCCAGCAGACAGCTCAGCACCTGTGCCCAGAACCAGAAACTCCACCGGCAGAACTCAAACCAGGACTGCACCTGTAACCACTAACTGCCAGCCACAGTGCAACTGGACCAAGTGGTTCAACGTGGACTCCCCCGTCCCTGGGCCTCATGGAGGGGACGTGGAAACCTACAGCCGCATCCTCAGGGCGGGAGAGCAGATCTGCAGTCGCCCCGAGGAGATCACTCGGCTGCAGTGCCGGGCCGAGAGCTACCCGGAAGCGAGCCTGGAGAGCCTGGGCCAGGTGGTGCTGTGCGACCCTGACGTGGGCCTGCTGTGCCGGAACCAGGACCAGCTGGGGACCCAGAGAAAGTGCCTGGACTACTCGGTGCGGGTGCTGTGCTGCCAGCAGCCAGAGGGCTGCCCCACCACCACGGAGGCCTCCATTGAGAGTGTCACTCCTGCGCACACAGTCAGTGTCTCCTCCAGACCCCAGACCAGCTCCTCCTCTGCACACACGGTCAGCACCTCCTCCAGACCCCAGACCAGCTCCTCCTCTGCACACACAGTCAGTGTCTCCTCCAGACCCCAGACCAGCTCCTCCTCTGCGCATACAGTCAGCACCTCCTTCAGACCCCAGACCAGCTCCTCCTCTGCGCACACAGTCAGTGTCTCCTCCAGACCCCAGACCAGCTCCTCCTCTGCGCACACAGTCAGTGTCTCCTCTGCGCACACACCAGCTCCTCCTCTGCGCACACAGTCAGTGTCTCCTCTGCGCACACAGTCAGCACCTCCTCCAGACCCCAGACCAGCTCCACTTCTGCGCACACAGTCAGTGTCTCCTCCAGACCCCAGACCAGCTCCTCCTCTGCGCACACAGTCAGCACCTCCTCTGCGCACACAGTCAGCACCTCCTCCAGACCCCAGACCAGCTCCACCTCTGCGCACACAGTCAGCACCTCCTCCAGACCCCAGACCAGTTCCACTTCTGCGCACACAGTCAGCACCTCCTCCAGACCCCAGACCAGCACCTCCTCTGTGCACACAGTCAGCACCTCCTCCAGACCCCAGACCAGCTCCTCCTCTGCGCACACAGTCAGTGTCTCCTCCGCGCACACAGTCAGCACCACCTCCTCTCAAAGGCACAGCACCACTTCTGCATCTACAGCCAGCACAAGACCTGTGTCTACACCGCCACCAAGCCAGTCCTCAGCTGTGCCCCCTGAGTGCCAGCCACAGTGCAACTGGACCAAGTGGTTCAACGTGGACTCCCCTGTCCCCGGGCCTCATGGAGGGGACGTGGAAACCTACAGCCGCATCCTCAGGGCGGGAGAGCAGATCTGCAGTCGCCCCGAGGAGATCACTCGGCTGCAGTGCCGGGCCGAGAGCTACCCGGAAGCGAGCCTGGAGAGCCTGGGCCAGGTGGTGCTGTGCGACCCTGACGTGGGCCTGCTGTGCCGGAACCAGGACCAGCTGGGGACCCAGAGAAAGTGCCTGGACTACTCGGTGCGGGTGCTGTGCTGCCGGCAGCCCGAGGGCTGCCCCACCACCACGTCTGCCACCCCACCCAGAGCCTCCATTGAGAGTGTCACTCCTGTGCACACAGTCAGCACCTCCTCCAGACCCCAGACCAGCTCCTCCTCTGCGCACACAGTCAGCACCTCCTCCAGAACTCAGACCAGCTCCTCCTCTGCGCACACAGTCAGCACCTCCTCTGCGCAAACAGTCAGCACCTCCTCCAGACCCCAGACCAGCTCCACCTCTGCGCACACAGTCAGTGTCTCCTCCAGACCCCAGACCAGCTCCACCTCTGAGCATACAGTCAGCACCTCCTCCAGACCCCAGACCAGCTCCTCCTCTGCGCACACAGTCAGCACCTCCGCCAGACCCCAGACCAGCTCCACCTCTGCGCACACAATCAGTGTCTCCTCCAGACCCCAGACCAGCTCCTCCTCTGCGCACATAGTCAGTGTCTCCTCCAGACCCCAGACCAGCTCCACTTCTGCGCACACAGTCAGTGTCTCCTCTGCGCACACAGTCAGCACCTCCTCCAGACCCCAGACCAGCTCCTCCTCTGCGCACACAGTCAGCACCTCCTCCAGACCCCAGACCAGCTCCACTTCTGCGCACACAGTCAGCACCTCCTTCAGACCCCAGACCAGCTCCTCCTCTGCGCACACAGTCAGCGTCTCCTCTGGACCCCAGACCAGCTCCTCCTCTGCGCACACGGTCAGTGTCTCCTCCGCGCACACAGTCAGCACCACCTCCTCTCAAAGGCACAGCACCACTTCTGCATCTACAGCCAGCACAAGACCTGTGTCTACACCGCCACCAAGCCAGTCCTCAGCTGTGCCCCCTGAGTGCCAGCCACAGTGCAACTGGACCAAGTGGTTCAACGTGGACTCCCCTGTCCCCGGGCCTCATGGAGGGGACGTGGAAACCTACAGCCGCATCCTCAGGGCGGGAGAGCAGATCTGCAGTCGCCCCGAGGAGATCACTCGGCTGCAGTGCCGGGCCGAGAGCTACCCGGAAGCGAGCCTGGAGAGCCTGGGCCAGGTGGTGCTGTGCGACCCTGACGTGGGCCTGCTGTGCCGGAACCAGGACCAGCTGGGGACCCAGAGAAAGTGCCTGGACTACTCGGTGCGGGTGCTGTGCTGCCGGCAGCCCGAGGGCTGCCCCACCACCACGTCTGCCACCCCACCCAGAGCCTCCATTGAGAGTGTCACTCCTGTGCACACAGTCAGCACCTCCTCCAGACCCCAGACCAGCTCCTCCTCTGCGCACACAGTCAGCACCTCCTCCAGAACTCAGACCAGCTCCTCCTCTGCGCAAACAGTCAGCACCTCCTCCAGACCCCAGACCAGCTCCACCTCTGCGCACACAGTCAGTGTCTCCTCTAGACCCCAGACCAGCTCCACCTCTGCGCATACAGTCAGTGTCTCCTCCAGACCCCAGACCAGCTCCACCTCTGCGCACACAGTCAGTGGCTCCTCTGCGCACACAGTCAGCACCTCCTCCAGACCCCAGACCAGCTCCTCCTCTGCGCACACAGTCAGTGTCTCCTCCAGACCCCAGACCAGCTCCACCTCTGCACACACAGTCAGCACCTCCTCCAGACCCCAGACCAGCACCTCCTCTGTGCACACAGTCAGCACCTCCTCCAGACCCCAGACCAGCACCTCCTCTGCGCACACAGTCAGCACCTCCTCCAGACCCCAGACCAGCACCTCCTCTGTGCACACAGTCAGCACCTCCTCCAGACCCCAGATGAGCTCCTCCTCTGCGCACACAGTCAGTGTCTCCTCCGCGCACACAGTCAGCACCACCTCCTCTCAAAGGCACAGCACCACTTCTGCATCTACAGCCGGCACAAGACCTGTGTCTACACCGCCACCAAGCCAGTCCTCAGCTGTGCTCCCTGAGTGCCAGCCACAGTGCAACTGGACCAAGTGGTTCAACGTGGACTCCCCCGTCCCCGGGCCTCATGGAGGGGACGTGGAAACCTACAGCCGCATCCTCAGGGCGGGAGAGCAGATCTGCAGTCGCCCCGAGGAGATCACTCGGCTGCAGTGCCGGGCCGAGAGCTACCCGGAAGCGAGCCTGGAGAGCCTGGGCCAGGTGGTGCTGTGCGACCCTGACGTGGGCCTGCTGTGCCGGAACCAGGACCAGCTGGGGACCCAGAGAAAGTGCCTGGACTACTCGGTGCGGGTGCTGTGCTGCCGGCAGCCCGAGGGCTGCCCCACCACCACGTCTGCCACCCCACCCAGAGCCTCCATTGAGAGTGTCACTCCTGTGCACACAGTCAGCACCTCCTCCAGACCCCAGACCAGCTCCTCCTCTGCGCACACAGTCAGCACCTCCTCCAGAACTCAGACCAGCTCCTCCTCTGCGCACACAGTCAGCACCTCCTCTGCGCAAACAGTCAGCACCTCCTCCAGACCCCAGACCAGCTCCACCTCTGCGCACACAGTCAGTGTCTCCTCCAGACCCCAGACCAGCTCCACCTCTGCGCATACAGTCAGCACCTCCTCCAGACCCCAGACCAGCTCCTCCTCTGCGCACACAGTCAGCACCTCCGCCAGACCCCAGACCAGTTC